GGTTGGAAGGCCTTCAGAATTTGGTGCTTAGAACATAACGCGTTGCTCCGTAGTTCTCTTTAGCGGCCTTCCGTGGCCAAGTTTGTGACCAAGTATAGCTGGACATATGATCAACACCTCATTCATTTCAGAAATCTGAGCCAGCTCCCCGGAAATCTCTGAAGACAAGCCTGGGCCAGGTTCTGTTGTTAGCGCTGGAGGGCGGACGTGCTCCGGTTTCTTCGAGACTTGGCAAACAAAAACGCTGGCCCAGCTTTTCGGCACGAGGTTTCTGAATCAGATGCTCGACCGTAGCCACACGGGAGGAAGACGCCAACTATACCCCGACACCAATCCTGGCCAGGCCAACCCTGGCTCCAAGGCTGGTGCGTTACGCCTTCCAGCCCTGGCCGGGTCGGTGTCACTGTGGGAGGAGTGGAGGAGGAGGAGGAGGAGGAGGAGGGGGAGGAGGAGGAGGATGAGGAGGAGGAGGAGGGGGAGGAGGAGCAGGAGGAGGAGGGGGAGGAGGAGCAGGAGGAGGAGGAGCAGGAGGAGGAGGAGGAGCAAGAGGAGAGGGAGGGGGAGGAAGAGGAGGAGGAGGAGGAGGAGGAGGAGGAGGAGGAGGAGGAGGAGGAGGAGGAGGACTGGTGCAAACCCAAGAGTCATCAACGATTTTGGAGTAAACCCTCCCTCCAAATTCCCTCTTCATAGGCCCCTACAGCGGTTCATTTCCATTGATGGAACTGCCTCGTTGGAAGACAGCCGTTTGAAGACCCTGAAGCATGCCAAAACATTGTTCTCAGGATTCCAACGCCACGGATCAACCTGACTGTTGCGTCTTGGCGATCCTGAGTCATGCCAGAACGCCGGTGCCAGGACTTCAACAGAGAGAACAATAGTAACTGCTGCACCAGCATAATCCTCAATCCTTCCAGTTCACCGTTTCTGGTACGCTGATGATGGGAACCCGTGGAACTCTTGAGAATTTGGTGAAAAGGAATGCGTGCGCCGCCAAGGCGAGAACCATATTTTGAAAAGAAGCCGCCTTCAATCCGTGAAAATCATGCAAATGTTTAGAACGAATGTGCGCGGCGTTGATGCGAAGACCACATTTTGAAAAAGGGGGGCCGCCCTCAATCCGTGAAGCTCTTGTAAATCTTAGAAAAGACGAATGTTCGCGGCGCTAAGGCGAGAACCACAATTTGAAAGGACACGCCCTCCATCTGTGAAGCTGTTGCCAATTGTGAAACTTCAAAATCATAAGTAGTGGGGAAATCTCCGGCAAAACGCCCGGCTCGCCCCAAAAACTGGCATCGGGGTGTGACAGGGACAAATTATTTACAAGGAAGAGGAATGGAGGAGGAGGAAGAGGAGGAGGAGGGGAGGAGGAGAAGGAGGAGGAGAAGGAGGAGGAGGAGGGGGCAGGGGGAGGAGTAGAAGGAGGGAGGAGGAGGAGGAGGGAAGAGGAGGAGGAAGAAAAGTAGGAGGAACAGGAGGAGGACCAATGTAAACCCAAGGGTCATCAACGACGTTGGAGTAAACCCTCCCTCCAAGTTCCCTTTTCATAAGCCCCTACAGCGGTTCATTTCCATCGGTGGAAATGCCTCGTTGGAAAACACCCGTTTGAAGACCCTGAAGCATGCCAAAACATTGTTCTCGGGATTCCGGCGCCACGGGACAACAAAACCGCTGCGTCTTGACGATCGTGAATCGTGCCAGAACGCCGGCCCGCAGGACTTCTACAAAGAGAACCATAGTGACTGCTGCACCCTCACAACCCCGAATCCTTCGAAAACACCATTTCTGGTACGCTGATGATTGGAACCCGTGAAACTCTTGAAACATGTGTACAAACCAATGTGCGCGGCGCTAAGGCGGGAACCACATTTTGAGAAAGCGCCGCCCACAATTCGTGAAGCTCTTGCACCTGTTTAATACGAATGTGTGCGGCACTAAAGGCGAGAACCACATTTCGAAAAGGAGCCGCCCACAATCTGTGAAGCTCATGCAATTTGTTAGAACGAATGTGTTCCGCGATACGGCGAAAACCACATCTCGAAAACGACCCGCCCTCCATCTGTGAAGCTGTTGCCAAAATCCGCCGATGTGGCGTGTGAGTTTCAAAGGCCTTCAGAACAGCCTGAACCTCGATTCCTGAGCTTCAGCTCTACTGGGGGGTGGGTGCTGGGGTGGTTCTGCCGAGGTCGGGGGGAAAGGGGTGTGTGTGTGTGATTCGTTTTGATCCCGGGGCGGAGTCGGAGCCCCAGCTCACTCCGGGACGGCCCATTCGCCCAGGAGGGCCCCAACATGGGCCACGAGGGCCCCGAGTCGCCGAACGATCGCTACAAGATCAATCTGTCCCCAAGACCGCTACAGAAGCCCCCAAGATGCCTTCAGAAGCCCTGACAAAAAAAGGCCCCCCCAAGAAAGCCCAAATAAGCAAGACATGTCCCATTCCGTAACGACAAATGCAAGTTTAGCGCATTCGCCTCTTGGGCCTCCAGAGCGTCGCAGACGCCTCCAGATAACCCCAAAACGGCCCCCAAAAACCGCCAAGAGGGCTCCAAAACGGCCCCATGAGAGCCCAAGATGGCCCAGGAGGCCCCCCGGAAAAAAAAAGGCTCCAAAGGGCGGGCCCAAGAGGCGCCTGAAAGGGCGCCAAGACGGCGGCAAACGTACCGAAGACGGCCCAAGAAGCCCCCAGCAGGCCCCCGAAGGCCCCCAAGAAGCCTGAAGAGGCCCCGGGACGCTTCCAACTGGCTCCGAAGAGGCCCCCTGGAGCCCCCTGATGGCCTCCAGGAGTTTCAAAACATGCGTCCAAAACGCCATCTAGAGGCCTCCAAACTGCCTCCAAGACCCCCCCCCTGGAGCCAAACACCGGCACTAATGCTTCCACAACGCTTAATATAAAACGTTATTCCACGCTTTCGCACATTTTCCCGTCTTCGGTGTCTTTCGCATCCACGATCTCACAAGGGCCCGCAAGGGACCGCGCGAAGGTCCCAGAGACCCCAAAAACACCATGGTTCCCAGCAGAGATTGGTGATGCACAAGCCTCCACAAAGATCTGTGACGCAGACAGCTCTAGCACAAAGCTTTTCAGATAATGCGCCACATCGGCGAGGCGTCAACCCGAAAAGGGCCAACACATGGCCCCAAAGAGGCTTTCCAACAACCGCCGAACATCTCCAACAACCGCCGAACATAACCTTATCTCGTCATGTTCCTCCATCTCCCCCTCCCCCTCTTCCACTTCCCGTTTCCTCCTGCTCCTCCTCATCTTCAGCATTACTACTCCTGCCCCTCCCCCCTCCGCCCACCTCCACCTCATCATGATCCTCCTCCTCCTCCTCCTCCTCATCCTATTCCGTTGTCTCCATTCCCAATCCTCATCATCCTCACCGCTCACCGTCGTCGCTGGTTATGACCGCCATCGCGCGCTTCCAGCAGCAACGGAAGCGTCCCGGATCGGCGGCACTGGCCGGAGGCCACTACAATCATAAATGGTGAGGAAGTCTCAGGCGGAACGCCCGGAACGTCCTAAAAACTAGCCTCTGGGTGCGACAGGGAGAAATTATTTATCAGCAGCAGGAATGGAGGAGTATGAGGAGGAGCAGGAGGAGGAGGAGGAGGAGGCGGAGGAGGAGGAGGGAGGAGGAGGGAGGAGAAGGAAGAGAAATAGGAGGAGGAAGAGGACCAACCTAAACCCAAGAGTCACCAACGATGTTGGAAGAAACCCTCCCTACAAGCTAAGAAGCCGAAAGAGCATCGGACGAACCCGCGCCGCCGCGGCGGCCGGCCCCGCCCAGCCGGTCCCGTTCGACGGTGCGCCGAGCGGTCACGGCACCACGCGGCTCTCCGCCACGCGCGGGCCGAGGCCCTGGCCGACACCGTGGAGGCTGGGGGGGGGCCCCCCAGCAGCGAGGCCAGCCGAGGGAAGACGAGGAGGAGGAGGGTGAAGTTCCAGAGGGGTGGCGGAAAGTTAGGGGGTTCTACAGGGGGGGCTATGGGGAGGATCGGGGAGACGAAGACGATGGCTCTGGGGGTGCAGGGAAGTGAAGTTCACGTGCAAGGGGCGCGTTCGTAGGAGCGGGGGGGGGCAAGAGAAGGAAAGTGACGAAGATGAGGAAGGCCATGATTTTGGACTCCACGTCCCAGCGCAGCGGGGGGTATGAGGAGATTGCATGGGGGCGGTCAGGGAGCGGCGCTGCAACGCTGCGGAACCCATCTCTGCCTCGATTGCGGCCGTGGCACCGCGCGCGGGGTGGCCCCCCCACGCACATCTAGACCACCTTGAAATCGCCAACGCTCGCAGGGCACTAGGTTGGAAAACACAAAACTGGATTCTCGCTTATTCGACCCTGCCTGGCCTGCCCCTGCGCGGATACAGGCCGCTGTGGCCACGGACCGCTCAGGTGGTGCTGGGAGCAGGCGTGCTGCTTTCGGCGCTCGGCGTGCTCGCGCAGCCCGTGCGGTCTGGCGTGCACGGGCAGGGCGCCGGCGCGGACTTGGCGGCGAGCACGAAGGGGGACAGGGGGAGAGGGGAAGGCTTCTCAGAAGGAGGCTGCTGAAGGGGCCCTGGGACACACAAATGAATGGACACAAAGAGCAGGACTCCCCATGTCCCCCTATTTTCTGGGTTTTCGTTTTCCCCCCCGCTTCCCGTGCTTTCCGATATTTTCCTGGGAGTCGACGATTAATTGTGTCTGTGTGTTTTTGTTCCCTCCTGATTCTTAGAAGGAGGCTGTGCTTCTAAGAAGCCCCCCCCCCTGCCCCCACTCTGCGCGGGGCCGACGGACGCCAACACTGCAAAGCAGCAGTAGTGTTAAGTCGGGCCTGTCCCTCCCGGTATTGACTGTGCTCAGGCGACCTCTGATCGGATCACGGAGCGTCAGAGCTAATGGTTTGGCAGGAATCGTCCGACTGGTCGTCAAGCCGATTCCGAGAAAAAGGAGTCCTCAGACTGATTCCGCGAGGCACAGAACAGAGAATCCTCAGGAATGATTCCGCTCCTGCCTCGATCAGCGCGAAGCCGCGCCGCGCTCCCTCGACGCGGGCAGCTTTCGGCCCCGCTCGCCCTGGCCGAGCACCATCTGCTGCCTCTCGAGCTCTTCCTGCGCAGCGGGCACCCGTGTGCTACCAGAGTGCCTGGCCGAGGCCATCCTGGGTCCTGGGTGGACGGTGTGCGGTTAAGCGCTTGAGACGGGCAGCAGAAGCATAGCCTGTGCGGGCAATAGGAAATCGCGCTGCAGTCAAGCCAATACCACGAGGGACGCAAGATAGGGACAGAAGCCCCTTCTTGAACGCCGCAAGGGCGCCTGGGTGAACCAAGGCTCGCCAGAGGAACGGCTATGGAATGACCTTTGGAGCACCAGCGAGCCCCTTCTGAGCCCAGGGTGGTCCTTCTTACAGCGCCTTGGTGGTATGCGCCCGCCCAGCCAGGGCAAGGGAGAGCCCAAACACGATCCCAGCCCAGGGCCCGGGACGGCCCTGGCCATGCATGGTGCTACACCGATGCCTGCTGCGGACGCTCCGCGATGTTGCAAAGCGGGTCTGGGAGCACGATCGGCTTCAACATCGGATTGCGGACCCGCTTCAGCCGCGAGGTGCTCCACTTGCTCACGTTCGCCTCTCTGCCCTGCAAGGTGGCGATGGACACGCTGAGAGGGGCGTCGCCATCGAGATCGGGGAAGAAAAACCTGCCGTGCCAATCGTGCACGAACCTCTGCAACCCTGGCCACGACGAAAAATTGATGAACCCGTAGCCGTTGCCCTCCCTTGTCGCGACATTTGTCGGCATGTAGAGGAAGTCGAACGTCCCTGCGGAGGAGGAGGACATGAATACCGCTCACCGCAAAAGAGACGGACCCTGAAGGAAACGGGTCCTCGACCTCAGGGACTTGTCTCCGGGGGCCAATGTCTCATGCCGAGTCCGTGGAGGGCCCCCTGGAGCCCGAGAACGGAGAACAACACAAGCTCATTCTCAAATCTCCTGCGATACAGTCGAGGCGTTGACCCAAGGAACCCTAAATAAGGAACGAGGCCCCTATTTTTTCGTAAGTTAAACTTCGACTTCCCATCGAAAACTGAAGGGAAACCTTAGGCAAGGTGTGGAATAATTAAGGAACATCGAGCCCCTCCCCAACGAAAAGGGTTCCTTCTTAAGCGCCCCGACTGTGCGTTTCTCTTCCGCACGGGCTTTCCTCCTCGATTTCGGCTTGGGGGCCTGTACTTGGGCCCCGGAACCAAGCACAATGGATCGAGGCCCACACTCTAGGCCTCGGGAAGGGGTCGGGGGCTGTGGGGCCGCAGTGGAACGAACGATCGGAGGATGTCTGGGTCCTCATCCTGCTCGAGGGGGACGACGGGGAGGAGGAGGAGTGGCAGCAGCAGCCAGGCAGGAGAAGGACTTGCCTGCTAGACTGGCCTCCTCTTTCTCCTGCTCGAGAGGGAGGGAAACTAGCAAGTTGTTGGTCGGTTAGTCGATCTGCGCATGGCCAGCTCTCAAACCGACCAGAGTAAGGCAGCCGCAGAGCGCTCGAGAGTACCGCGCCTCGTCGATGGCGCACACACTTACACACTTACAGACGTACACACTTAAGCACCTACACGCTTACGCACTTATACGCTTACGCACACAGAAACACACACACACACACTCTCACACAGACACACAGACACAACACACACACACACAACACACACAAACACAACACACACACACACACACACACGCGCACACTCACGCACGCGCGTAGGCACGCACGCACCCCCCCTCCCTACACACAACACACACACACACGCGCACACACAGAGGCACGGGGAAGCCCTCACCTATGCGATCAGCATGGGGACCCCCTGATCGCAGCGCAGGGTCGATGCGCCTGTGCCCGCGCAGAGACTCGGCGGAAGAGGGAGGGACGACGAGGAGGAGCCCTGACAGGAGGTACAAAAGGAGCATGTGCCTGCGAAACCGACCTCGATGAACCTCTGCAACAGACGCTCCTGCGCCAGCTGCCTGGGCAGGTTCCGCAACATTACAGTGGTCGCGGCCTCAGCCTCCATGCGCTGCAGTAGCCTCCTGACCTCGAGGAGGGGGGAGGAGCGAGGAGAAGGCGGAGGGGCGAGGAGGAGGAGGAGGAGCGAGAAGGAGGTGAAAAGTCGATATACTCTGCAAACATTTGTGGACGGCATATCCCGCTTCGGCGGGATGTGATCACCGGCGCGGAGGAAGGCGGATGAGGATGGGGAATGATGATGATGATGATGATGATGATGATGATGATGATGAGGATGACGATGACGATGATGATGCTGATGATGATGTTGATGATAATGCCGACGCTGACGATCATGCTGAGTATGCTGGTGGTGCTGAGGATGACAACGGTGCTGATGACTGTGGAGGCCGAAGAAGGAAAAGAGAAAGAAGACCGAGGTACACTCTTGAAACTCGCGTCCGGATCGTCTACACCTTCGACACCCACCGCCTTGCCCACCGGCACGCCGAGGCGTGGTATAATGCCACGTGGTGCTGTATCAGGTTTCTTCCTACTCTCGGGGTCGGCCAGGAGGGGGGCGTCCAAGAGGGGGGGCGCAAATCATGGCCAGCGGCACGTGCGCGGCCCAAGGAGGGGCCATGGACGTAATGAAATAAGAAGAGGCGCCACGACATCTGGGGAGATTCCGTGGATGTAAATAGGTAGCCCGAAAACAAATCATAACGTTGGAATTCTGCCGTTTAGAGAAATTGTCTGCAGTCCGGGCCGCGACAACACGGGGCTCAAAAACATGCACTTGTGGTTCGCGCTTATTTCTTACACATGTTCGGCGGCGGCCGCCAGCCGTGCCAAGCCTGGGACCCGCGGACTTTGAATGGCTAAGCTCCAGCGATACGAATCAGTTTCGCGCCCATTGTTTCCATCCGCGGTATCATGGCTCCCGCCGTGATATCCCCCTCCTCCTCCTCCTCCTCCTCCTCCTCCTCCTCCCTCTCCCTCCGACTCCTGCTCCTCTTCCTCCTCCTCCTGCTTCTCCTCCTCCTCCTGCTCCTCTTCCTCCTCCTCCTCCTCCTTCTCCTTCTCCTCCTCCTTCCTCCTCCCCCATCCTCCTCCTCCTCCCTCCTCCTCCTCCTCCTCCTCCTCCTCTTGCTCCTCCTCCTCCTTCTCTCCTCCTCCTCCTCTTCCTCCTCCTCCCTCCTCCTCCTCCTCCTTCCTCCTCCTCCTACTCCTCCTCCTCCTCCTCCTCCTCCTCCCCTCCTCCTCCTCCTCCTTCCTCCTCCTCCTCCCCCTCCTCCTCCTCCTCCTCCTCCTCCTCCTTCCTCCTCCTCCTCCTCCTCCCCCTCCTCCTCCCCCTCGTCGTCACCCCCCTCTTGGCCGCCCCCGGTCCTCGTCGCCACGAGCGGTGCGCGCCTTCCCCGGGGCCTCTGTCTGGGCGGCCCGACGCCTCCCTTTACCAGCCTCGAACATATCCCTATCCCTAAGATTGGCACGCCAAAAGGCGACGACAATCTCGGGGATTCGCCCTCAAAGCACAAGGGAATCCCTAAACTTGGCATCGTGATGAGGAGGTGCCCAGCATAGGGATAGGGATATGATCCAGGCTGGTCACCCCCGGCGCTCTCCCCGGGCCTGCCCGCTGCGGCTCCCCGAGAGCCGCTCTTTGGGAGGGCCGCCGAGGCCACCGAGGACGGTGCGGCACTGCCCCCTCGCGAGGCACCCTGCGCTCCCGAAGGGGCGCAGGATGTCCTCGCGAGGCACCCTGCGCTCCCCGAGGGAACGCAGGATGTGTGTTTTCTGAAGGGGCCCTGGGACACACAAACAAATACACACAAATAAAAACAAATCCCATGGATTCCCGTATGTTCTGGGTGTTTGTCTTCCCCCCCTCTTCCCATATTTTCCCATATTTTCCTGGGGGTCGACGATTTAATTGTGTCTGTGTGTGTTTTTGCCCTCCTGATTTTCCCCTGGGGCCCTCGAGAGGCCTCGACACACCCCCAAAGACGCTCTCCAGGAGGGAGAGAGAGAGAGAGAGCGAAGTGGCTCGACATTGCTAGCTCTCCACCCTCTGCGGTCGAAGATCGCACTCACCAGAGGGGGGGCTGCGGAGAGACGCGGCGCCTGAATGTTTTCTTCGTGGCCTGGATAGGCTCCACAACCACTGCTCGAAATGAGGGACCTGTACTCTGCATTGGAACAATTTCGACGAGCCCGCCGAGGATTCGCCGCGTGGCCGCCCGTGCGCCCCGTCGCTGCCGCCCCGTGGCCGCCTCGTGCGCTGGGTGGGTCCGCCGAGTTCTCGCCGCGCTGCCGCCCGTGCGCCGCGTCGCTGCTGCCTTCGTGGACGCCTCGCGGTCGTGCGCTGGACGGGCCCGCCGAAGACTTGCCACGCTGCCGCCCGTGCCGCCTGCTCGCCGCCTCACTCTTCGACCTTCCAGGGGGACAAACAACACCATCTTGCTATTCATTGGGAATCGAAAACTGGTCAGGTCAGTGCTCCTGCCCCTCCTCTCCCGAGGGAGGAGGGGGGAGAAAGAGGGGAAGGAGCGCTGACCTGACCAGTTTTCCCTTCCCGAATTCATACCCAAATACTCGTCGGCCAGCGCTTCCAATTAGAGGCTCCCGCTTACGTCCTGAGCTCTGTGCACGTCGCTCGGACCACATAGCTTGCACCACGCAGATCCCGTTTCCGAAAAAGCATTCGGATCGACACCCCCCTCCTTTCCGGCTGTAGCCGCCCCCCTTTTCGCATTGCGATTGGCATATGATTATGTTCCCCCGTCCGACCTAAATATGAATTCGTACCGTCCCAGCCAGACCAGCAACATTTCCCCCCCATCCTCTGCGAAACATACTATGCGCGCGCACTCGCTTATCACAAATCATCAATGTCCAAGAGCCCCGTGCAAAACATCAAACGAAATGCACACGCGCGCGTCGTCGCGCGCGCATGCCATAATCCTGCAAACACCTGAGGTTTCGTAAGGAATTCAGAATCGACATAGGTTCTGCATCAGCTTCATAAAATGCTACCACATGGGCCTCTCGCGCGCGCATGTCGAGATCGTTCGAACGCCCCTGCGGGCGTTCTGTCGCAAGAGCCCCTTGCAACAAATATGACGAAGTGCGAAAACGCGCGTCGTCGCGCGCGCATGCCAGAATCCTTCCAAACACCTTTTTGGTTGCGTAAGGATTTCAAAGTCCACCCAATACAGCGCTTCGTGGCCCCATAGGGAAGCCCACCGAAGGCCCCAGTGGAACCGTCCGCATGCGTCTCCCCCAGCCAATACAGCGTTTCATTGTCAATCGGGAGCTCCACCGAAGGCCTCAACGGCACAGTCCACATGCGCTTCCCCCACCCAGTACAACGTTTCGTGGCCCGTAGGGGGCTCCACCGAAGGCCCCGGTTACAATATTCGCATGCGTCCCCATCCCCCACCCAATACAGTGTTTCGTGGCCCCTTAGGGAGTTCCACCGGAGACGATACCCATAACTGCGGGACTCACAACTGCATGCTGTTGCGTCCTTCGCCAGGATATTGTATCCCCAACCATCCTGTGGTATCGGGTCCTCGTTTTGAAGAGACAACGCCCCGCGTCACCTTGTCCTCCTCCCTCCTCCTCCCCCTCCTTGTTTTGTTTGGTTGCGCTGCTTCAGGGGAGCGTCTGGAACCAAAGATGCATCCAGGAAAAACCAGCCAGTACGATTGGGCGACACATGCATGTGTGAAAGTGCCACCTGTAGCCACAACGGCTCGGCATAACGTGTCAAAGAGGCGCCTACTCGCGCAGGCTCACGGGTTGCATGGGCCCCTGTTCGGCAACATGTGGGGCCGAGAGAAGAGAGCAAGAGGAGGGATCTGTGGCTGACGCCAGCCTCGTAAGCTTCCCTGGTCAGCGGCCCACACAGCCGCCCAACGCCAGTGTCAACATTGTGTCGCCTGCGTCCCTGCCTGGCCATTTTCCGCGCCCAGTCGGCATCCTGCTGGTCAAACCCAGCGGCCACATGCGGGGGCATCCTCTGGAAGTTTTCCAAAAGAACATACCGGCAACGTTCAGATTTCTCTTTGACGTGCAGACATACGGGGCACTAGTCCGTCTCAATACATTTATCCCCGGGTTACCTGTCCGACCCCGTGCACATTAAAAAACAGGTTGGGCCAATCTCTGGCGAGAATTGAAGTGGCAATCGCACCTGGTGCACGCGAAAGTCGCGTCCACTTGAGCAACTCGCTTCGTCTTAGCCCACGCGGAAATATCATTGACGGATCTTTCCGATTGAACATCCCGGAAAGCTTTCTTGAAGCGCCGCGGGCTGCCCCTAACCACGGCGATCCACTCTTCGAGCGACGCGGCGCTGAAAGAGGCGAGGGCCTCCGACGTGGGCGACAACATCATTCAACTGCCTGCAACCACGACCTTCCGCATACCAACAGGGTGGGCCAACGCAACGCACAATTCATGAGCGCCCCCAACGCAGACCCCCACAAAAAGACACAGCCGCATGCACAGAGATAGCTGGGGCGACAAAAGAACTGCGCGGGGCAATGAAAGCGTGAGCAGGTGATTTTGCACCCTCGCAGTCGTCACGAAAAATCGAAGAATACACTTGCATGATGAAAGTGTGCGCCCGAACCTGTTCACCGGAATATAGGGGGGGGGCCATGCCCCTGCCTGGTGAAGGCCCTTTGTATACAGAAGCCCTTGGCATGCCATGATGCGCTTCTCGACGTCCACCGAAGCACGGCTCGGAATGCTTGGGCGGATCTGCTCAAAAGTCCCCGTCATTGCATTCATCTTCGCAGTGATCTCAGGTTGCAGTGTATCAGTGCAACACGCGATGGTGCCCTCGTGCTTGTACTGGAACGTAGCCGCGAGATGGCGCTCAGAACCCATGAGTGCAAAAGGGATAAGAGCACCACTGTCCACGAACAGCTGGCGCTGCACTTCGGCAGCTCCGGGCCCTGCGAACCTGAAGAGCGCCTCTGTCTTGCCCTTTTTGAAATTGATGATGAGCTCAAAAAGGGGGAATACATCATTATACACACTCTCGCAAGCGCTCAT